TTCTGGTAAGGCATGTGAAACTTTTTTTTGTTTTTACCATGCTGTCCCTATGGTGTTTGCTATTATCCATGGTTTGCAGAGGCTTGGAACCTATTCCCAGCTGATATGAGGGTCCTACTGTAGATCAAGATGAACTCTTTAATTGTGCTGGGAAACAATTCAGAAAGCAGTGAAAACGTTTTTTAAAGTGGCAAAATACATTTCAAAACGCCACTTTCAGTTAACGTCCAATATCCTTGATGGTAGCCTCTAAACACAAAGCCTCTAAACACAATTTAATAATAATTGTGTGCTATTGTGAGGGTTCAGTTTTTGGGGCTGTCTGTTCTTCAATTAAAGGACGAGTCGGTTGAGGTAAATCAAAAGGTTCAGTATTTATTGCAACATCAACTCCAACAGGGTTCACCCCTAAAAAGGGGTTCAAAGATTCTTGCAACATATTGCTCGGCTTTAACGGGGTCCATAAACCATTTATAAAAGGGTTTGTCGTCTATGGGTTCCAAGGTCCTGTTAATAACGGCACAGTCCCCTGCCCAGGGTCCAATTCTTCGTCCAGAGATATCAGCGGTAAAGTCTCTTCATCCCCGCTCCACTCACCCCAGGACGACCCGTCTCCTCCTTCAACTCCCCAGGGGCCGGGTAACCCCCCAGCTTCCTCAGTTCGGCGATATGCCATTGTTTTTTCCTTTCTAGCTCACGGGCTACAGCTTCCCTTTCTTCCCGGAGCTTCCTTCTCCACTCCTTGGCCTCTGTCTCGCCCCAATACGAAGGGCGAGGCTTTAGCCTAAGCTGACGGCGTTTCTCTGCCTCTTCATGGGGGACACGGACCTGCTCCCACTTGTGGGTCCAGGGATCCTCCATTCAGATCCACTCCCATCCCCCCGGTATCTCTGCCGGCTTCCCTCTTATATCTCCCGCCGCTGCCTCAATCTTCTCCCTCCGTCTTCCCGGCAAAGATCCCCCGGGTTCCGGGGTAAGGGTTAACCCTTTCATAGTCCCCCTCCAAATCTCCCGTATCTACCCCCTTATTTAAGGTAAAGGGTTCGGCGACCTCTTGTTCCCAGTCTGGGGTCTCCACGCCTTTCTCTTCCCGACGCGTTGGGGACGGAGGTGGGGATGTTTGAGTGTGAAGGGTTCTCTTCAAGAGCGACGGCACTCCTACTAAGGCCTCCATTTTGGAGGCCTCACAGCTATCAAGCCAATTCTGACTCATGGCAACCCTTTTTCAGAGTTTTCCAGGTACAGAGTATTCAGATGTGTTTACCATTCCTTTCTTCTGGGGGCATCCTGGGATTGTACAGCTTGCCCAAGACCAGATAGGCTGGCTCTACTCTGCTAGAGGGACAATGAGGAATCAAATTCCCAACCTTCGGCTCTGAATCCAGATAACTAATCCACTGAGTGATCCAGACAGTTTCTAAACTCAATAGGAGTGTAATAACATGTGAATAATCTGCTAACATTTCTCCAGCATTCTTTTTTTGACAATTTAAGTAACAAAATCAAACACCTTATCTTTTCAGGTGTTGTGCTGCAATAATTTCAAATTATGACATGTAAAAAAGAGCCACAGGTTCCTCGGTCATTAAAAAGTGTAATCTGGAAAGCCTCTTTCCAATTTTCAACGAGTGTGACAAATTCTAGACTTCTGAACAGGGAGTAATTCTGAATTTGCTCCACAAGATGTCCCTAGAGAGTTGATAAATAACTGGTTTTATATTTGCCAAAAGGGTGACAAAAGTCTGGAGGATGGAAAATACTGATATTTGCCTGAGAATAATGGCTGCGTAGTTCATTGACTTAGGTATCTGCCTACAGAGCCAGAGAATGGGAGTTGGATTTCCCACTGTGCTTCCTAGGAGAAAAGCCAGTATGTATAGCCTTGAGCAAGCTGCACATCCCAAGGGTGCCCTTAAGAAAGAAACGGTAAACCCCTTCTGAGTGTACTTAAAAATCCCTGGACTTGATGGCAAGTAATTATTATTAATGCAGTAGCAGTATATGGCCTTGACAGAGCAATGCTATGAGTATCTTCTGAACTTTAACTACATTTCAGATGAAATAGTAACCCAGTTATAGTTGATATAGTCAGTATCCCAGAAAGAAAAGAATGCACATTTTGGTTTTCCTGTGGTCAGCTGATAATTTAATTGGTTTTGAATATACTTATAAACAGTATCACACACTTGCTGGTCCAAATAATTTAAGTCCATGTAAACTGCCAGAGACCTCGTGCGCACACCATTGCCAGATTAAATATGTAGTGAAAGAAAGAAACTTTAAAATAATGTATATTGACTATTCAAAATGACTGTGATTCTCTGCACTCCGAGTAATCACATAATGTAGGAGACATCTCACCTAGGTAAATGGCGTAGATATGAGATGATGAGAGGCTCAGTGCTGCAAAAGAGCTGAAGGTGGTTGAGGTCAAAACAAAACAGCGGTTGTTGTGCTGTATCCTACAGTAATGTCACCGCTTTAGGAGCTGTCAGGCACAAACAAAGGAAAAATGAAAAAATAAAGAAGACAACAAACATTGTAGCACCTTAAAGAATAACTGCTATATTTGAATGTGCGCTTTTATGAACTTGTCATATTAAAATACAGCAGTTACTCTTTAAAGTCCCACAGTGTTTTTGTCTTCTTTATTTTTTAATGTTTGCTTTGTTTTTTCCTGACATGCTAGCACAGACGGCTCCCTCTTCTAAAACTACAACTATGGTTTGTGAACTGGTGATATCTGAGATCAGTATAGGCTAGACGTGCCTAATTTGCACCTGGTTCCATCCAGTGGTTTGATTTTTTCCATTTAATTCTCCTTCTTGCATTGTGGATGTTAAGTATTTAACTGTTTCTAAAGAAAAAGTAGAAGTGCTGTATAAATTTTCAGAGATTTTAATTACAGTCGAACCTCTACTTACGAACGTCCCTAGCTACAAATGATCCAACTTACGAACAGCTCCGTTCACAAAATTTTGCTTCTACTTGCGAATGGAGCTTCAAGATAGGAACAGAAAAAGACAGGGGGGAAAAGGCAGACAATTCAAATTTCTAACTGTAGGTGGCGCCGAGGCTGCTTCTTTGTGCTGTAGCTCTTTCGGCAGTTATAGGGTGGAGGCTTGGGAGAGCTTCCTGCTTCGGAGTGAGCCTGTGTGTGTGTCTGCAGGGAGGTAGGCTGCTGTTTTATCCTTTTAAAAACTGTTCTGGGTGGGTTTTGGCTGGGGCGGATATGTTTCTGTGCTGTGTTGTTGTTGTTTTCTTAATGTCTCAGCAACGGAGCTGGGTTTAATGTTTATTGTTGGAGTGTTTTCCCCTTCTTAATGCCTTAGTGCCTTCCAACCGCACTTGCTGTGTTCTTTTTATTTTTTGGTGATATTTTTTTTGTCCGGAATGGATTAATTTGTTTTCAATGCATTCCTATGGGAAATTTTGCTACTACTGTACTTACGAACGTTCCAACGAACAAACATCTTCTGGGACGGATTGAGTTCGTAAGTAGAGGTTCCACTGTATACATACTGTACATGCAATAATGGCAATGGTTAACTTTTTGAACACTAGATGTCACCATCCTTTAACCTTTCACTGTATTGCTAAGCAAGATGTAGTGATGCCCTCTTCACAGCAACATTTACATCTGATAAAAAAGCAATACATGTCAATAACCTGCTCAAATGACACTAATTTGATAATTTTGTGCCATCAAGTCATTTCTGACTTGTGACAACCCTTTTCATGGTTTTCTGGGTAGGTAATACACAGAAGTTATTTATTATGTCCTTCTTCTGGCGGTGCCCTGGGACTGTGCAGCTTGCCCAAGGTCACACAGGTTGGCTTTACAGTGGAACCTCTACTTACGAACGTCCCTAGGCACAGTTGGAGGTTGAACTCCCAGCCTCTGGCTCAACAGCCAGATACCTCAACGTCTGACCTCTCCAGCCAGTCAAATGCAGCTAAAGACCTTCATAAAAACTCCCAGAATGTTATTTGTTCTGATGTTTAGCCTGTACATCACAAAACTTTGGAAGAATTAGACCATTACAGAGAATTCCTGATAGAACCTGCAAGATTCATACTTTCTGATAACACACTGACACAAATGATAATATTGTTTACTGAAGTTTATATATTTTATTACTATTTTACTTTTATCTACATTAGAAGGATATCTGCAAGTGAGATCTGAAAGCCTTAGGAATGGACCTCAACAGATGGGAAACCCTGACATCTGAGCGTTCAGCCTGGAGGCAGGCGGTGCATCATGGCCTCTTCCAATTTGAAGAACCACTTGTCCAGCAGGCCAAGGCAAAGAGACAGTCCCAAAAGCAGCAAAACCAGGGAGCTGGACAGGGGAAAAGACTATATTTGTCTTCAGTGTGGAAGGGATGGTCACTCTCGAATTGGCCTTCTCAGCCACACTAGACGCTGTTCCAAGTCCTCCATACAGAGCACGTTACCATAGTCTCTCGAGACTGAAAGATGCCTAATAAAGAATTTATCTACATATGTATCAAAAGGCCTCATACATACCTCACCATACCTCGGTAGTTCCCGACTTTCCCTGCAACAATTATTAATTACAGTCTTCTTGACAGCTGTATTTCCCCCCCACACCCGTCTCAGTGGTTTAGAATTCAGACTTCGCAGTAACTGGCAAGCCCGTTCTCATTGGTCTGACGCCGTATTTGTTATCCGCCTTCGGGTGCTAGCCAATAGGTTTCAGGCGCCCCTAGCAACCCGCCTTCTTACTCCCCTCACCGCCCTTTTCTTTGGCTTCAGTTGAAGCTCTTGTTGTCCTTGAGTCAAGCTGGCCTGTCACTCAAGCTCTCTCCCTCCAATCAGAAGGCACCTAAGATCAGTTCGCAAAGGGTATCTTCCGTACGATTAGTCACGTTGGTCGTCCATCAAACTCAGGTCTATGCCGATTGGCGAACGTCCGCCAGGAGAGTCAGGCTCCTCCCTCTCCAAGTCCTGTGGTGGCTTCCAGCCAGGGAGGCGACTCAGTTGGTCTGTGGCGGCCGCTGGACGGAGCTGGGTGCTCGTGTCCTGTTTTCGGTGCTGCGGAGGGAAGTTGGGGGAAGGGCCCCGAGGCCATTGCGGCCCAGCTTAGCTCCTCTGTTCGCGGCTGGAAGGAGTCCAGCTCCCCCTTTCTCGATGTCCCCCTCTCTCTCCCGGACGTCCACCAAAGGGCTTTAGACTGCGTCTCCCCCCCCCCGCGACCGCCCGACTCCTGAAGAGAGTGCGAATATGAGCCGTCCCCTGGTGTGCGGGACCCGCCGCCGCCGCCGTCTCCCCTTTTCCTCGCCTTCGTCCTCCTCCTCGAGGCAGGTAAAGAAGAGCGAATGGAGCGGTGAGTAAGGAACGTCTCTAGCTCTTGCGGGGCCGAAGGGAGGGAAGAGCGGTTGGTTCCGGAGCTCTGAAGGAGGAACTGTACGAAGGGTGACAAGGCGTGAGGGGGGGCATGGCGGAGGGGAGTGGGATTTGTGGACCGGAGCCCAGGCGAGCGGCAGCGAGTTCCCCTGAGGCAGGCAGAGAGAGAGAGAGAGAGAGAGAGAGAGAGAAAAGGGGGGGCCCGCCTCTCCCTTTGTGCTGAGGGTTCGCGGTGGGGAGCGTGACGACGGGGGTGTCGTTCTCCGGAGGGGAAGAACGTGAGGAACCAGACAGGCTTCACTGGAGGAGGAGGAGGATGAGGATGGGAGGCTGTCCCGAAAGTGCGTGTGTGGGGGGGGAGGAGTATGGGGAAGGAAACATCTACGTCCTGTAGTAGGGAGTAGGGAGATGAAGGTGGAGGAATTCTTGTAGTATGACAGTACTTTGAGAGAAAGTCTTACTTTTTTTGGACTCTTAACTTCCAGAATCCCATAGTTAGTGCGGTCAGAAATATGGCGGGGCGGGGCGGAGGGGGGCGGCGCGCGCGGGGAAGGAACTTTCACAGACTCTGCTTTTAAGAAACGTGTCTCTCTCATTTTTTTCCCCTGGGTGATGCCTTGAAAGTTTAATTCGAAGCAACTGCCTTGTTCCTTGCAGCAGGAAAGGGTCAAAGATGGAGGAGCGTCTGGCCACCTGGCTGAGGGTGTAGGATAAAGAGGATGAAGTGTAAGGGGAGGGGCGATATCTTCCTCATCTTTATCTCCTCCGAGAGCACCAGTCCTAGCAGTTTTGTGAATAATGGACTACTTTTCCTTACTGAGCATGTTTATACAGTACTGACATTTGAAGATGCAGTCAAGAATATCAAGTGCCATTTAATCTCCCAACCTTCTGACTTGTAGTTTTCAAAGTGGTAGCTGTATTAGTCTGTGCAAGCTAATCAGACAAGAAATGAAACAAAACAAAAGTGAACAAATTATAGGAGACAAAACTGTTGTGGCACATTAAAGACTAACGGCTGCATTTTATTATGAGCATTTGTAAATCCAGACCACTTCCTGAGCCATAAGAGTGAGACTTCATGGTAACATTTATATATGACCCCAAGATAAAGCAACAGTGGTTGGTTAGTAGATACAAGTTGCAAATTGTGTGAATCGGTGTGGCATTTCACAAAAATAACTTAAGATGCTGGCTTGATACTCAGTTTTGTTCTTTTGAAGCTTTGTTCTGTAAAAAGTTGACAGTGGGTGATGGGTAAAGGAATCGCAGGTTATAGATGACAGAGGAAGAAACAACATAATTGGTGTGGCATTACTAATAAGTTAAGAATGCCTGACTTTACTTTTGAATTGTTTCTCTAATTCTTGCAAAATTCATTATTAGTCAAATTAATATTCCAGTTCTTAGTAAAAACATACAATTCATTATGAACATTTATTTAAAAATAAACCTGTTTTTATGATGAGACCTGAATTCCAGTTCCGGTTTGATATGGAAATTTAAAGAAGACTGCCATTTTACAACCTGTGATAAGGCTTTTATTGGAAGACTTTTTACATTAGTGAATGCATCATAAATACTTCCACTGTTTGCTCTTGGCATGGAAGTGTGAACATTGTGTAATGGTGAATAAAACATGGTCATATATCTGGCCATTCAAATGAAGTGACAGTTATGAATTCATTTTTCACCCAGTATGAGATGCCTTTCCTTTTGAATTTAAAGAAACGTATCAGGTTTGCTACATTGTTGAAATCTCTTACCATAAAGTGCATTGTTTTTCGGAGAGGGCATACTACGTACTTATCTAACCAATTTTTTAGTAGAGGAATACCTCCTTTTATGTAGAGGCAAACTGGAATGAGGATAGGGAAGATGAGAATAGATGGTTTAGTTTAGCTTTGCAGTATGTTTGTTTCCTACAAAATAAGCATGGCTGAAGCATGGTCACCAGGCAGTATGCAAAGATTGTGTAATATTGTTCCTATTTTAAAACAAATAATAATAATAATAATAATAATAATAATAATAATAATAATAATAATAATAATTCAACACAGGCATGGCTAAAACTTGTGTCTAGAAGGTCGGGGTATAAATTTAATAAATAAAATAATAATAATAAAAAAATAAAATTGGGGACCATTAAGAAACCAAAGGCTTAATTTTTGCTACAGAAGAACAAGCACTCCAAACCAACATGATGAAAGTTAAGATCCAAGGAATGAGTGCTAAAAGCAAATGTTGACTCTGCCAAGCAAAACATGAAACTATATCACACCTCATCTGCAAATGTCCAAAAATTGCAGAAACAGATCACAAAATTATACATGATAGAGTGGCAAAATCATGCACAGGTCATTTTGGAAAAATATAACTTGCCAGCCTTCAAAAATCTGTGGGAAGATCAGGTAGAGAAGGTGTCAGAAAATGAGGAAGTCAAGGTCTTGTGGGATTTCTGGATCCAAACCGATAGACACCTTGAATATAACACACCAGACATAGTGGTTAACAGAATGAAGAAATGTCTGAATCATTGACATTGCAATTCCAGGGGATGCCAATAAAGAATTGGAAAAACTCACAAAGTACAGAGGTCTGGCAATTGAAACATCATGCTTGTGGATAAAACACACTTCAGTGGTTCCTGTAGTCATTGAGGCTTTGGAAACAATATCAAGAAATTTCACACAGTACTATAAACAGTTGCAGATCTCAGAAATAACACCGTCAGGGCTAACAAAAATGGCAGCATTAGGAACAGCATACATACTGTGCTGATAGTTAACAGATACTTAGGTTTTTGGTACAGTATCTTTTATATAATACCAGTCAACGTTTTTATAATTTTGATTGCCTGTGCCTGGTGTTTTGATTATGATGATGGTTCAAATTATCATCATCATCACATTCCATCAACTTGATTCCAATTTATGATTATCCTTTCAAGGGTTTTCTTAGTAGGGAATACACAGAAGGGGTTTACTATTCCCTTCTTCTGGGGACACACTGGGACTGTGAAGCTTGCCCATGGCTACAGAGGCTGCCTGTACTCATAGGAGGCACAATGGGGAGTTGAACTCCAAACCTCTGGCTTCACAGCAGATACCTAAACCACTGAGCTTTCCAGTCAGCTATTTTGAATAAACATATGATTATTTAACTTTTCTTAATAGAAGCAACCACTGTTGGTTTAGACAAGCTTAAAGTGTAATATAACCAAGAAAGAAGTATTGTATTTGCATAAATGATAGAATGAGGAGAGGAACAATGTCCATTATCTGTTCATATTTTAATTCTCTGCTGAATTCATTTCTTGAATATGCAAACATATAAGAGGTTCATATTTTATGAAGAGGGAAATAAATTTTTGTAGAACCATTCAGTTGTTACCGGCCTGGCTGCTTTGATTAGCCAGGCCGGGCAAGGGTCGAGAGAAGAGGTGGTGGCCTGACAGCGATCAAGCACCTTGTCTACCAGCTCTGATGTTACAGGCTGAAAGGAGTCGAGAATAACCGGGCAGGACGGAGCGCTGGACATCTCTGCTCGATCCATTGTATTTAAAAAAGGAGAAAGGTCACGGCGGATGGCCTCCACTTTGGATTTAAAAAACGCTGCAAATTGGTCAGGTGAGATGCTAGTGGGAGGCCCTTCACCCTGACCAATTCCGGATAGATCGCGAACTATACGGAAAAGTTCCGCCTGCTGGTTGGAAGCTTCGCTTATCCGGTCAGCGAGGTAAGATCTTCTAGCAGCCTTTACCTTGGCTAGGTAACGGTTAGTTGCGATCCTGACAGCTATCTTACTATAGTCCGTCGGTTTCTTTCTCCAAGCGCACTCTAGCCGTCTCCTTATTCGCTTCATCGCTCGTAGATCCTGACTATACCAGGGTCCTGGCCGAGCTCTGCTTCTGAGAGGGCGTTTGGGTGCGATATATTGGACTACAATTTTTATTATCTTCAACCTGTAAACCTGTCCTGCTGGGAGTTATAGTTCAGCACATGAAGGATGCCAATGCAGGGGTTTAATAATGTAAACCAGTGGTAGCCTGATTTCAGGCTTTTGTGATCTAACGTGTAAAATGACTTTATTAAAGGAAATCCTGCAAGATCTACTGAAATATTCTAAGTTTACAGAGTGTCAGTGCATACTTGGAACTTTTTTCATGAGTAATGTGTATGAATCTTTATTATGCAATTTCACTGTATAAGATTGGAATATTAAAACCAATTGTTAAATCTGATTAAATACTGTACATCTAGTCAAGCATTGTCTCTCATAGTAGTCAACCAGGTGCTGCTTTGAAGCCCACAAAAAGAGCATGATGGTAATTATCATCTCCTGTTGTCTGTCACTAGAATCTAGAAGGCTGTTGTCTTTGTATAGAGGTCTAGTGTTGGGCTTTTTAGAGCTAGTTTCGTTGATATACATATAGGTAAGTATTTGATAGTGTAACTATGGCAATAGTTAAAATAGCTTAAATAGCTATGTTATTGTGGCTTGTTTTTCGTCACTTATGTGCTCACATTTGTAGCCAAGTCTCCTTGTGTTGTATGATGTGGAATCCCTTCCATTTTGTGTATTTAAAAAGCAGTTTTGATTCTAAGTATTAAATAATGCCAGCTTATGTCCAGCACCCATGATACTTTTTTTGTTGAAATGGAAGAGCAGCAGTTCTGTAGTTAGATTGTTTCTCACTGATTTTTTTTAAAGATTTATCAGAGATTTTCACCAAAGGCAAAACACTTATATGATCTGAAGAGAAAATGGAGTATAAAATAGATGTTTGAGCCTGAGGAGGAAAACAGGTAAAATTATATATTTTTTCAAAGGCAGAGAATGGTAAGGAATAGAAGGAACTAATTAATATTCTTGTATTCTTAATCTTTAAAAGGACATGACCACCTCTGGAAAAATACAGTAAGGATTGTTCAGTTTATTAGTCACATCTTGGATGTTTGAAAATTAAAGAGTAAA